CCAAGTTATTGCAATGCCAACACCTCCCAATCTATGACGAGTGTTATCCCACCAGTCCTCAACTTCCTCTGCTAGCATATGCGTACCAAACTGCACCTGTTGAACATCAGTACACGCCATAACTCGAAAAATCTTCTCAATCACTTTCAGCCACTTCTGCGCACCATCAGGATCATGTGTGCCCACAAAAGTCGGCGGATTGTTCCTCTGGAACTTTCCCAAAGCACGAAATTCATCTAGGATCCACCATTCTGGGCCATTACTTGGACAAGTGATTCCAGCGCATCAGCAATAGCATGATCATTTCTTCCAGCCATCTGCAACCACCAACAGGGTTAGAAGAAAACAACTCATCCAATAGTGTTCTCACACTATTGACTGATAGGAGACTAACAACATAAAAACTTGCCCGGACGGACCGACCTGCTCTGATACCACTAATGTAACACCCTTTTCTACCCCACAAAATAAAAGGCAAAATGTTCACATTTATCAGAGTAAAATATTAAATTCAATAAAAATCACCTCAAAGGCGTACATTTCCCAATAAATCAAATATAAGTCAAAGCTCCGTAAACAACAGGTTTTTCCAAAATTTTCCTTATACGGGAACATAATCAAAATAACCAAATCAAATAAATCATGGTTTAACTCAAAGACCTCAACCCAATGTTACACTATCAGAGCAAGACCCTCTACATTACCCAAAGTGGCCAACAACTCAAAACTCCAAAAAAAAATCCTCGACAACATCCATGGCTAAACCTGGTCATCTGCATGTTACCCACGTGGAGGCAACATTAAAACAGGCAGGGTGAGTAAAATGATTCATAATAATCAATGTAGGAAATAAATATATAAAATGGCGTCATTTTCATATTCAACATCATCATATTCATCAATGGACATCAAAGGCTACAACATCATAAATTACTCAAGATCATCTCATAAATGCAAATGCAAACAAGACTCATGCATGTGTACTAATCATCACAGCTCGAAGGACACTGGGCCATTAACCCTCCATAGATCCCCATCAATAGGATCGATTCTACTCGAGAACTGGAGCACATAAAAATACCTCACATCCGCACAATGGGACTGAAGCCAAAGAAATCAAGGTCCTGAACCGAAGTCCGGATGCATATGAATGCATGATGCACACGTCAATAATCATCCTCATAATAACATCATAGGTGCATCATCATTCATCATAATCATCATCGTCAAAAATCATGTCATCATGGAATCATCAATCTCATGGAAATATCATTATAGTTCATCAATCATTATATCGTAGGAATCATCATATAATCACGTACGAATCACATAGAATTTGTAGTCATACTCGTATTAATTCGTCAAAGAAATCAAAGCATCAAAACATTAAGGCATCACTGCACAAGGTCAGAATTCGCGAAACTCTGCTATGTTCGCTAGCAAGTTCGCTGTGTGAGTCTGGGGCGAGTTTCTTCGCTGTGCGAAGGATTCTTCGCAGTGTGAGCTTGAGACGAGCTTTGTTCGCTGTGCAAACATGCGATTATAGCAAAACGCTTTTACGCGCCAGCACCTAAAATCAACCCAAAAGTCCCACGATTCACTTCCTCAATAATCCAAAAACATCCCTAAATCACCCCTAAGGTCTTACGGCGATGAAGGCATAAAATCCACGACTTATTAGGCCAATCCCGTATCATATTCGCACTATAACTCCCATAAATCCTTACAACTACACCACAATCAGCCTCGAATCTATCAGGCCATCGGCTCAAACCCTTTAAACTCTTAAATCGGCTTTAAATACATTGAAAACAACGAAGACAATACTCCCCATACCTTAATTGCCGACTCTAAGCCTTCTCTTTGACTTTCAGAAAACCTTTCAAAGCTTTTGCCTCAAACCTCCTCCTCAGAGCTCTGGCCTCAATTTCTTTTCACGGTCTAACAAGAATGAATCCTAATCCCATCAAAATTCCTTTTTGTTAAACCTAACCTTGGGCCTTAAAATTGGGCTTTCCAATATTACCCTCACTAACTCCTCCTCAATTGTCCAATTTGCCCTTAGTTAACTTATATTTATTTAAATTAATAATAATACCAATATATTCATATTATATACTATTATTTAAATAAATAACTTAAAAATTCATAATTCTCAATATTCCACAACAACCACCGAAAATTAACAAAATGCAGATATTCTTATTTAAATAAATTAAATAAATATTCCAATAAAATTTGGGGTGTTACAGTGGTCAAAACCAATCCAAGTAGTAATGTGATTCCAAATAACCTGCAAGTTAGAGCAATTGAACAAAAGGTGATCCTGGCTCTCAGTTTAGCTATAGTAGACACAAATAGCTTCTGCAATCATGCCAAGTTTTAGGATCCTCTCCTTGGTTTCCAACCTCTCACGGCGCGTCAACTACATCATGAGCAAAGTTATTCGTCGAGCTAAACTATTGTAGAATAATTTTCTCCAAGCCACTTTGTTTCTATCACCTTTCAGCTCCTCATATATTCTCCTAGTGTTAAGCTTGTTACTTCGAACGCAATTATCCATGGCGTGTGTGATATACACCTCACTTCACAGTTTCAGAACAACCCTAAAAATCCAAGAGCATTGCTCAGTAACTGGCACAATGTGTATAACGTGCTTTTTTACATGATAAATTTGGATCAGTCTGATCCATAATGTGTTTACTTTGCCAGATATGTTCCACAACAGCTTGGACATACAAGCTTTGTTCTAGTCAAGCAGGGACATGATGTTGAAACCACGAAAAGTCTTGGAGTCACAAACAATTTTCCAGGCCACAGGAAATTTGCGAGAGATTTCCGCTTTGCTAGTCCAAAGAAAGGAGCGACAAATAACTTCAACCTTCTTAATAACCATCTTCGGAAAAGGCATGCAATGGTGCCAGTAGGTCGTGATAGCTGATATGGCACTTCTAATCAGTTGAATCTAACCTGCATATCTTAAAAGGTCGTTGCTCCAATGATTGACCCTATTCACTAGCTTTTCAACTAGGTCCAAACATTTATGCATTGAGAGTTTCTTAGTAGAAAATGGAATGCCCAAATATTTGAATGGGAGTTTATCTTCTGCATAAAAAGTGATATGCTGGATTTCACTCTTAGTCTGTTCATTGACACCACAATACAATGCTTTATATTTTTTAGGGTTAACCACCAATCCTGTGGCCTTCGAGAAATCATGGAATTTCTCCATCACCAGCTCCATAGATTTAGCATCAACCCTTGAGAACAAGAGTAAGTCATTAGCAAAACTTAGGTTAATGATTTTAAGCTTCTCACACTTAAAGTGGAAGATAAAATTAGGAATCCCATGAAGCTTGTTGAACTGTCTCTATAAGTACTCCATGATGAACACAAACAATAATGAGGAGATGGGATCCCCTTGCCTCAAGCCTCTTTTAGCAACCGATTTCTTGGAATGAACTCCATTTATGTTGAAACGGTATGTGATTGTGGTAACTGGCAACATGATCCAAAAACGAATCTTCTACAAAGACCTATCTCCTTCAAAATTGTTTCAAGTGCCTTCCAATCCACAGTGTCATAGGTTTTCTGGATATCCATTTGGAGCATGCATCGGGGGGTTCCACCTTTTCTAGAGTATCCTTTAATAAGCTCATAGGAGCAATATGTGATCGTGGATTTTTTGACTCGGGACAAAAGCAACTTGGCTCTTGCTGACAATGTGAGGAAGAACTGCTCCCAACCTAATAGCCATGATTTTAGCTATGACCTTATAGATGGTGGAGTAGCAAGCAATGGGCCTATAATCTTTGACAACTCTAGTACCAGGGTTCTTTGGGATGAGAGTGACAATGTTCCATTGGCAGCCTTGTGCATAACACCTTTATTAAAGAAATTATGGATAACTGCTATAAAATCTTTTTTGATAATATTCCAAGATGTTTTAAATTTTTTTGAACCATATCCATCCACACTTGGTGCTTTTAAGTCACCAATGCCCTTCAAGGCTTTCACAACTTCAGCTTCGTTGATTGACATAATAAGATCTACTCTTTTCTCCATAGTGACCTAAGCCCATTTCCTCGTAGCATCAATATCCACACTAGGAAGGGTTGTATCAACATTGCCCATCAATCTGCCATAGAAATCCAATACTTCCTCTTCCATCTCTTCATGATTGCTGATGAGGGTACCATCATTTTTGCATAAGTGGTTAATGGTGGTTTGATTAGCTTTGCTCGTGAGGAAGGCATAGAAGAATTTGTTATTTTCATCCCCACTCTTAACCACTCAATTTTAGTCTGCAACTTGAGTGATTGTTCTTCTATTTTAAAGGCGAAATTCTTGACAGTGTTAATGATTTGAAGGTTTAATATATCTTTGTTGAGATAATAATAATAATTTTAAATTTAATAAAATATATTTAAATAATCTTAACAATTATTAATATAATATGAATATCCACGTGTAATTTTACTCGTAAGTATTAATAATAATCGTATCTAAACTCATAAATTGTAATGGTATTCTATATCACAATTTTTTACATCCCTAATTATTACATATCAATTAGAGTATCTTGTAATTCTCTTAAACATTACATCATATGCTTTGATTATTTTGGCGTAAAGATATTTCTTTAACTTAAAAAAAAAAAAAGTTGTAAGATTTATTGTATTATTTTTCTTTGTTGTTATATTACTCTTTTACACGTCAGGAGTTGTTAATGAGTTGTGAGAGTCATAGTATATAATAATAATAATTGTGATGACTAACAAGAAAGACGCGTTATTAAGAAACAGAAGAAAGAAAGAGGGAACATATCTTTGATTGAGGGGTCCGTCTTCCCCCTCCAAACGCGGCATTCATCACTCACTTTTCTTTTCATTCTCCAAACCCTTCTTTCTCTCTCTCCGATTCTGCACATACCTAACCTCAATAATCATCATCACCATCTATAAATTCTCATCCCCAATTTCTCATACCTTCCATAGATCATGCTGCGTTTGTGCTTCAGCCCTCTCGATTTTTGCTTCCGACGTCGTGCTGCCTCTGATTTTCTTCTCTGGCACACCGACTTGAAACCTCACGCTTCCGGTGATTTCTCCATAGCCGTTGCTCAGGCTAATTACTCCCTTGAAGATCAGAGTCAAGTATTTACCTCCCCTTCCGCCACATACGTCGGGGTTTACGACGGTCATGGTGGCCCCGAAGCCTCTAGATTCGTCAATAACCGTCTCTTCCCTTATTTGCATAGTAGGTTTTGGTTACTCTGTTTTGTTACGGCATTTTTTTGAACTTAATTAGTAATAATTAATTATATTTGTTGCCGATAAATCATGATTTCAGGTTTTCTATTGTCCGAAACAAGCTCAATTCATCCAAAGAACTTCATGTTTAAAATTATGGATAATCATCGTTAATATTTATTGATTAATTGAAGTTTGTGTGGTTGTGACGATGATAATGAACACAGTAGTAAGTATATAAAAAAGTGTGTGTCCTTGTCTGAAACCGAAGCCGGCACTTATCATCACCTTTAATTCATTCATTTATTTAAAAATTATTATCTTGTTGACATGTGATGGCTGTTGTTATGTTTAGGGTTTCCGGTGTCCGTGTTTCGCTCATTATAGTACTTAATCTCTGTTATGTTTTGTTTTGTCTATTGTTGTTTGTTCTACGGTTAACTTGTTTGTGATTTTGGTTTGTAGAATTTGCTTCTGAGCAAGGGGGATTGTCGGTTGATGTGATAAAGAAAGCCTTTAGTGCCACTGAGGAGGATTTCTTGCATTTGGTTAAGTTGTCCTTGCCTCTTAGTCCCCAGATTGCGTCGGTGGGATCATGTTGTCTTCTTGGTGCAATTTCTAATAATGTGTTATATGTTGCCAACCTTGGAGACTCTAGAGTTGTTCTTGGGAGGAAGTATACTGAGAACAAGAGTTGTACTGTAGAGGCCGTGCGCTTGTCAACGGATCATAATGTAGCCGATGAAGAGGTGAGGAAAGAAGTTGAAGCTTTACACCCTGATGATTCACATGTTGTGGTTTATAGCCGTGGAGTTTGGAGGATTAAGGGCATCATTCAGGTATATATACAGTTGATTTTTTACTAACAAATATTGTCACTTTTAAACTCTGTTGAATATTTACTAATATAGCAATAACAATACATGTCTGATTGTGATTGTCGCAACTTTCAAGCCTTTTTAATACTGTTATTTGAAATTATAATTTCTTGTAAAACTGTTCATCTATTCGATATGTTTTTCTTTCAATCCTTCGTTACACAGTTTTTGTATTTATTACGAAGATGATGATGTATTTCCATTACATACTTTTGATTGCTAGGGGCTGTAAGGGTGGGGAAAGGGTCTGGTTTATTTTTGCTGTGATAAAACGGAATCAGGATAGCCGAACTAAACAGTTTTCTCATGTTGCAGGTGTCTAGATCTATTGGTGACGTGTATTTGAAGAGACCAGATTTCTACCGAGACCCTGTTTTTCGGCAATTTGGAAATCCTATTCCTTTGAAGCGTCCAGTAATGACAGCTGAACCATCAATCATTATCAGGGAGCTTGAGTCAGATGATTTATTTTTAATATTTGCATCAGATGGCCTTTGGGAACAATTAAGCGACGAAGCAGCCGTTGATCTTGTTTTCAAATATCCAAGAGCCGTGAGTGTCTTCTGTTATTTATTACTTCTGAGCTGCACGGAACAACTGAGTTTCAATTTGTTTACATGTTTTTTTGTTTGCGTTTTCGATTCCTGCAGGGAATCGCCAAGAGACTAGTAAGAGCTGCTCTCCAGGAAGCTGCAAAGAAAAGAGAGATGAGATATGCTGACATAAAGAAAATCGACAAAGGAATTAGAAGACACTTTCATGACGATATAACCGTTATTGTAATCTATCTTGATCAACAAAGAGGCTCTTCTAATGGCGGATCTAAGCAAACTGCTGTTGGCTACACAACTGCCCCAGTTGATATATTTTCTCTAAATGCCGACGAGGCTGAGAAGAGTATGCTTGGTTCAGTGGCCTAAAGAGTGAAAATCTTGAATGGATCGTAAGTGAAGATGAATATTATTGGTAAATGAAGGGAATTCTTGAGTAAAAGATGCAAATTAGAAATTACTGCATAGATAGTGACCGCAAGTTGCTGACATATTCTTGGTGCAGATGCATATGTATAGTTGTGAATTTATATTTTTGGGTTTGATGTTAGTATCAATTTTGTTTATTTAGAAAGAAAAAATAAAATTTGTATTTATTGGTTAGAAGGATCTATCGGTAATGTTCGTGAATGATAAGGTACGAGGTAAGCAGTTGGTGACATTTCACCAACTAACAAAAACTGATAGGTGGGCATGTCGCATGTGGATGTTTATGATAAGCAGAGTGGTTTGTTGATTGCAATTAAACCCCAACATGAAATTTCAGACAGATTCTTAACTGTGTCTTGTACACTGTAACAGACAGAAAAATGTGATCAAGCGGTGGAGCAGTCTTTTTTAGTTTTCAGAATCAGATACTTTTACTAGTATTTCTTGAGATAAGATTTCACTTTCCAAGTTCTGAAATGAATTAAACCTTTTTTTTTAATTAACATTATCCTTTTAAAATTAGTTAATTTTTTTAAAAAGGACTCTGAGTCATTGTCCGCCCAATCAAAGGAGTATATATATCTTATTCTTCCGTTATGGCGAATGGCATATTCGCCTTGTAAAAGATCTAGACAATGTCTTTTACAATGTCTCTCAAGTGGGCTTAGGCATGTCACCCTCTTACTATAAACGCAAGAGTGGATGTGGAGATCTACACAATGGATCGCGAGAGTGGACGTGGAGACCTACACAATGGATATTATATGTGCATGTTGTCAATATCACATATTTTTAATTAGCGCCAAATTGAAGCTCACTCACTTTCTAGGGGTACATTTTCAACGGATCTACTTCCTCAATGAAATATACACTTAGACGAGCCTCATAGCATTTGCTTCAACACTCTTCATTTCACTAATAGGAAGGATTTGGAGAATAATTGTTCATCACTTCACTAATAGCAAAGATTTGGAGAATAACTGTTCTAGATTGGGTAGAAGCACAACTCACTTCACTAATAGAAAGGATTTGGAGAATAATTGTTCATCACTTCATTAATAACAAAGATTTGGAGAATAATTATTCTAGTTTGGGCAGAAGCACAACAAGACTAGCCCAATATAATAGTTCAATCCAACCAAAATTCTTCACTAACTGACGTATAAGTGGACATCTTCTATGGAGCATCACATAGAACGTGCCTCTCCTCCATTGTTGATGTGGATTCAACGGTCATCCACATCACACATCACACGTTAAATTAACTTAAAACAATTCTAACCATCTCTCATATGCAAGTGTGATCGTGACTCATACTCATGTATTAATATCATTCACACTTATTAACTTGAATGTCAAAGTGCTAATATTATACTTATTCCATCTTTGATCATCTGAGATCTCAACTATCTAATCTTTATTTAAAACACAAAGATATACTCCACCTTAATTCAATTTTAATTTGTACCAATAATTAGAGCTATTTATGTTATATGATTTCTTTTTATTAAGATACCATTTTGCTTCTTTTCCTTTCCTGTCCTTTCCTTCATATTAATATATAGTTGTGAATCCAATAATAGCTAAAATTAGGGGTGGCAAAATGGATGGATTGGATGGATATGGATTGGATTGTTAATGGATGGATTAAAACAATCCATTAGTCCATTAAAATCCACTAAAATTTTATTAAAATTATCCAATCCGATCCATCCATTAAGAATAAAATTCATCCAATCCATCCATTAACATATTTTTAATGGATGAATATCCATCCATCCAACTTCTTTTTTAATTTCGTAAAAATATTTTTTTTTTTCAAAAACAAATTAGTTTTTTATTCTGAAAAAAAAACCGATTTTTTTTCTAAAAAAAAAAGTCGGTTTTTTTTTCGAGAAAAAATTTTATTTTTTTTCAAAAAACAAATCAGTTTTTTATTCTGAAAAAAAAAATTGATTTTTTTTCCAAAAAAAAAGTCGTTTTTTTTTCGAAATTTTTTTTTTGAAAAACAAATCAGTTTTTTATTCTGAAAAAAAAACCGATTTTTTTCAGAAAAAAAAAAAGTCGGTTTTTTTTTGAGAAAAAATTTTATTTTTTTTTCGAAAAACAAATCAGTTTTTTATTCTGAAAAAAAACTGATTTTTTTCCAAAAAAAAAGTCGGCTTTTTTTTCGAGAAATTTTTTTTTTCGAGAAAAAAATTTATTTTTTTTCGAAAAACAAATTAATTTTTTATTCTGAAAAAAAAACTGATTTTTTTCCAAAAAAAAAAGTCGGTTTTTTTTTTCGAAAAACAAATCAGTTTTTTGTTCTGAAAAAAAAAACAGATTTTTTTTCAAAAAAATTTAAAAAAAAATTTCAGAAAAAAAAAATAGTTTTTTAATTATTTTAAAAAAATAAATCTAACGAAAATAAAAATAATCCATTGGATCCTTAAAATATGTTGGATGGATTGAATCAATCCATGCATATAAATGGATGGATTGAATCCATCCATGCATATAAACGGATGGATTTAATCCAATCCATTAACTTATTTTTTGTGTGATGGATGGATTGGATGGATTTTTTGATGGATGGATTGGATGGATTTTGCCTTAATGGATTTAATTGCCACCTCTAGCTAAAATTACCATCTATACTTTACTAGATTAATTAGATATTATAAGGAGCTTTATGAAAAAATTAACTTTGTTGTCTCTGTAAGAGAGGGGGTGACTTTTGTGGGTTCCTAGATGAAAGAGTGACTTTGAATACGAGAAAGAGTTTCGCGTAAAAGTTGTTCCTTGTGCGATAGTTCATGTTCCACGTTATGTGCAAAATATAATCTAATTTTAGTTTAGTTGATATGCTCCAAAATACAATGTTTAAGTGATTTGTGTTCAATTCCACTTTGACTTGGTTGCTTATTTCAAACAATTTAATATCAATTAGATATTTTGGTTTCATGGAGTAATTGTGAAGAAGAAGTCGATTATTATCTTATCGGTCGAAGTCAATGTCTGTCTGAATCAACCAATTATTCATTAATTTCCACTTTTTTTCAAACCAAATGGTGAGTTAGGTATTATCCAAATATGTAGAGCATGTGTCACATCTTATTAGTATGCAACTTTTATTAATTTTCAACCTATCTTTTCATGCTAGAGGTCTTCCTCAAGCGTCTCAGATCATAAATGAAATAAAAAAGTTTCAAATGAACCAAAAATAACGCCAAGAAGTTTACTGACATTGTACCAAACAAAGTTGATTGGCACTAATTAAGTTTTCCTTCTTTATAACAATGTTTTATTATGTGTGTTTTCTCTTATAAAAATAATTTAATGTATTTTTTTTACGAATTTAATTTATATGAATTGATCCGATTGTAAATTTTAAATTAATAGTATAATATGACAAATTGATAAATTTTTATTAAATAATAATATAAAATTATTTTATATTATTAGTGCATATCAATTAATCTCTTTTCAATTTTTTTAACTAAATTTAAAATTTTATTTTAATTTTTTATCTAATAAACATTGATATTTAGTTTCTTAAAAATAATTCTAAATTAAATTGACCAGTTGTTAGTCCATAAATTCGACACCTCTTATGGATTAAGATATTTAAATAAAATATTAAAGTTTTTTAAAGAGCTTGTCGAAAGGCCCGAGACCGTCGAAAAAAGGAAGCTAAGATGTTCTGGGGACTTAGAGAAAATTCTGGATTTTGAAGAGTTTGACCTTCGACCGAGATGGTTGGTGGGAGATTAACGAAATATTCGAAATTCAAATAATAGAGGGAGTAGTTATATTTTCTTATGACTAAGAGGGACAAGTGACACTCCTTGGGCAAGGAACTTCATGCGCTGTGACATGTGTCGGAAGATGATAGCCTTAGGTGGTTATTGTTAGTTATTTTTTACTATTATAAATATGAGTTTTTAGAGATAGAATCGGTGTGTTGTAATTTACTGTTTGTGCAAGTCACTCTTAAGTTTACTCAAAGTATCCGAGTGTAGAGAAAGGAGTATCAAGGAGAATGTACGTAATGTAAGCACACCATCTTTACTTTTCAATGATGTTTACCTTATTTGCTTAACTTTATAAAGTTTCTTTACTTGTCTTGCAACCTCTGTCTTTTCTATGCGCTTTACTTTATCATTCGCCCTCAAACCTTTTCTAGGACTTCTGTCTCTTTCTTTCTAAAATTCTATCTTTTATTTCTCTCCAGTCGAATAGGCAATTTTATCATTAGAACCTTTTACCACAATATTGTCGAAGTGTGTAATTTAGATAGATTTCAAAACTTAACCTTTAGCACATATCCTAGGATGAATCTGATCGATCCTGTGAGTCACCAAAGTTAAATTTGCAAGATCAGCAGTTGTTTTCCAAGGGAAACAAAATGGCACGCCCAGTGGGACAGTGCTAAAAGTTCTTACTAAGTATAAGCAAAATTTGCAGAATTGCAATTTTTATTGGTCTTTCGCAAAAATTTTCGTTTTATGTTACTGAGAAGTGGTAAAATTGCCGCTGTAAACGAAGAGAGACTAACAAGACGAAGCGTTAGGAATATGGCGACAGATGTAAATCAGCCAAACAACCCTAACTCTCAGGGAAACGGTTCTAACGAAGGACCTAGAAACGATGTAGCTCCACCTTCAATACCTTCGACCGGGGAGCAAGTGGTGCCTCCGGAAATATGCGAGAAATGATTGACCTAGATGATATGTAGATGATATGCGAAGCAAAAAAACAGTCAAAGTTAGAAAAGTCGCGGGAAAATTTTAGGGTGCAACACTCCTCAAGTAAACACGAGGAGTAAACGCTCATAAGTTAAACATTAAATCCTTTCCAATGACAATTAACGCCCAAGTAACCCTTGCCACTGAAACTGAAGTTCGTCTCAATAATCCCTATCCTCCAAATTGTCAAGATACCACCAGAGTTCCCAA